TCCCAGTACTGTATTTACCTTCTAAATTTTGAAGGTGGTTACCTATATATAGTTCTCAATGCACAGCTTTATATTATGTTAGTATTTGCATTCACTTGGGACCTGCTTTGAGGCATAACACACATTCCTAACCTGCCCCCTACTTTTTCCTGAAGAGCTTTGATAAGTAAAATAATGCTTGAATTTACCAGCCAGAAAGATCTGGTTAATGTTAACTGCTATTGCAAGAAGCCGAGTTTTTGTCAAAAACTTTAGAAAGGTTAACCTAATTTACACAAAATACTAGCCGTATTATTAATTTATGTGATGGCATAAGAGTTAAGGGTTAAAATTCTGATTCCACCACTTAATAGTGGTGTCATCCTGAGCAAAGTACTTATCCTTTCAGTGGCTTACTTTCCTCATTTGTAACTAGGGATAGAATACCTAGATCATAAGGTTGCAAGAATTGAAATTGTTAATATACGTTAGGCATTCTGAACAGAACAGAGGTTCTATATGTTTCAGCTATTATTATTTCCATTTAGATTGGTTTTTAGCTATTTTTTAGCTAATTACTAGATTAATTAATATTCAGGTTAGTTAAAATTTGAACATTTTAATTAGCCTGAGCAAAATGAAGACAATGTTTAAATCTATCAGAGATTAAAAAAAATAGTAGTTCTTGGGGCACCTGGGTGGCTCAGTCAGTTAAACGTCTGACTCTTGGTTTCAGCTCAGGTCATATCTTAGGGTCCTGAGATTGAGCCCCCATGTAGGGCTCCTTGCTCAGCAGAGAGCCTGCTTTTCCCTCTCCCTCTGCCCTTCCCCCAGCTCACACACTCTCTCAAATAAATACATAAATGAAATCTAAAAAAATGGTAGGTCCTTGGATTTGCTTCATATTGTACATCAGAACCTATGTACTGGCATTGTTCAAGTAAGAAAGAAAGATTTATATTCTCAGGGTTAACTCAAATTGAAGATTGGTTCCTGTTTGCTCCAGAATAATTTTGTGTAGACAAATGTATTTCCCAGAGACATATTTATCACAATAATTTGAAATAATGAAGGAAAATGCCATATGCATAATATGAAAAAACTAAGAATAATAGCTTCCTTTAGTATGAAAATTAGACAAATGACTTTAATAGTTATTAGCATGTTGACTTACACAGGGAACCTTCAGCTTCAGATTATGTGGGGCTGCAAATGGCTTTGTCCTCAGAGTCTTAAGGGCAGGATTCCTGCAAAGATGCTCCAACCAAACAGGTAGAGAAGGTAGCAATTTAATGTACAGTCTGGGCTGATTTGCAAACCACATACTCTAGATTTCAAATGAATTTTGTTTATCAAAGCCATTTACCCAGTGACATTCTTTAAAACTGGAGTTATAGTCTGGGAGAGTAGAATGAATAAGTAGAGTTAGACTTACTCAAGTTTCCCAAACATACCAGCTCAGTATCACTGGATTTCAGTGTTGGAGTAGGGATGGGGCAGCAATTCAGTCCTCTAGAGATACCAGTTTCTCTTCTGGGCAGTTTACATCAGCCTCATGGGCAGCAGAGAGATAGACATCATTGAAAATAATAATTGCCAACACTGTGAGTCAGGTGACTGTATTAGTTTCCTAGGACTGCTGTAACAAAGTACCACAAACTGAGTAGCTTAAACAGTGATTTGTTGTCTCACAGTTCTGAAGGCTAGAAGTCTGAGATCAAGGTGTCAGCAGGGTCACATCCCCTCTGAAGGCACTAGGGAAGAATCTGTTTTAGGTCCTGGCTTCTGGTAGTTCTTTGCCTTGTGGCAGCATCTCTGTGCTCTTTGCATGGGGTTCTCCCTGTGTGTCTCTGTCTTCGTATGACCATCTTCCTATAAGGATACCAGTCAGATTAGATTAGGGATCCACACACTCAAAGAACATTTCCAAGGACATATTTTGAGGTACTGGAATGGGGAGGTTAGGACTTCATCATATGAATTAGAGGTGGGGGGCACAGTTCAAACCTAATAGTTAACTGGGTATTTTTATTGTCCTAGTTAGGAAACTGGTGAAAGTGAAGGGAGTACTGTTAATCATTGTTCTGGGATAACCAGCATAAACTGAGACTGCCTTAGGCAAACCTGAATATATGGTCACTGTCCCTATGAGATAGATACAATTTATCCCATTTTTCAGAGGTTCAGTGAGGTTGAATAACTTCCCCAGAGTTATAACTAGAAAGAGGACAAGTATTATTCAAATTCAGGACAATCAGATTCTAAAAAAAGGAGAAAAATCTATGCTTCTGACAAGAGAAAAGTTAACATTTTCATGTCTATAGAGAAAATTTCTATAATATGAGACTAGGTAAGGTAGGGAATGAATTTGTTATGCTGCATTCTCTAAAATTCCTTAACTATATCTCTTTCCTTGCTTAATCAATTTAGCTATTATGAAAGAAAATAATAACCTGGTATATTATATTAGGCTTAATTAACATATAATTTACCTGATGACTGCGAGTCTTTGATTTTTGTTTCCTGGCTAGTCTATTGGTATTTGGAGAGCAAGAAAACACTTAAAGCTATACAAAGAGAATAGCCATGAATATTAAATTATTTTAGGCTTGCTAGAAAATTGTTGAAATGACTTTTTGTAAGTGTAAACCACTTTACTATTTTTATCATGCTTTATTTGTAATCCAGATTTGATTTTTGATTGGCTTGTTAATAAACATTTTAGCATTCTTCATTATCTATCACTAAAGTAAGATAAATATTGAAAATCTAAAAGTTTACTTTGCTTTTCATACTTTATGAAGAAGGAAATGAAAAAATTATCTGGAATTCTATGATGCAGGTGTTACCACCATCAGATTAGCGTTTTGCTGTATTCTTCAGTTCTTTTTTTGCAAGGGGGGTATGCATGGGAAAGGTTAGATGGTCAAGAACTCAGTAAATGATAGTTGTTGCTACTACTTCTTCTACTGCCGATGCTGTTGCTACTGCTATTGCTATTAATATTATTTTCATTTTTGTCATCATCATCAAGAGAATTCTAGAAATAATCAGTATGACTTAGAGCCTAGATGCAGGGGGGAGTGAGTAAAAGGAAGTACGTTGGAGGGCTAAGTTTCTATTTGGTAACTGGGTGAGTGTGGTATAACTAATCAGGACAGAATAAACAGGATACCCAGGATCAGAAGTTGAAGACATGAATTCAGAATGCTGTATTTGACTTGTTCATGGGCTATCCAAATGAAGATACCTGGTTGACATATGGCTATCTCAAGACCAGGTCTCAACAGAGAGATCTGGAATTAAGATAAATATATATTATCAACTTAGTGTTAAAATAAGATTATACTTTCATAGTTTTTTAGATAAATTGGACTCTACACCTTTAGTCTTCTGACAATAAAGACACCCATAGGGTCATAATTATAATAAGGCCCAAAATTCCAGGTCCACTTATCTAGTACAAAGGTTGATTTTTATCTCACAGAAGAAGTTGGCAAGTCTAGATAGTTCTTTAAAGAGTCCTGTTTCTGTTTGTACTGCCATTGTTACTTTATTATTTATTTATTTCCATTCTGGATTGTCATCATTTTACAGTGCCCACTTCAAGGGGAGAGTCCTGGGTGCTCCTTCTCAGGGAGAGGCTGGGAAAATGCGGCTGTGCTGGGGGCTCTGCTATATTCGCTCCCCTGTGATGTTACTGCTGAAAACAGTTCATAGAGCAAGGCCCCTCAAGAATGTCGCTGTCATCTCATGACTAGGGAGAGGTCAAGGAAGACCGTGATGCCAAGTGACCATTGGAGCAACAAGGACTTCATTGTTGACCTGATAGGGGAGTTTGCTGGAATAATGCGAGTGATACCCGGATTGAAGGAGAATGAGAATCAAATGGGACACGAGGGAGTAAAGGACTAACTTGTGCTGCTTGTGAAAAGCCCTGTCCCTGAGGGAAAGGAAAGACAGATAGGACGTTTTACATTTGTAGAAGGCAAACATTATACTGTTTCCATCTTTGATTGTAGGGTCTAGCATCCTCCCATGTAAGTGCATTGTTAAATGAGACAATAAAGAAGAAATAGTGATTTTGAGTTACTGTTCTTTCTACATAATTAGGCTTTGACTAGAGGGCGGCTTCAGATTCCTCCTGGAGACTAAATTTTGTCACATTTTTGTCATTTCACAGTAGAATTTTTTTTTTAATGTGATGTGTACGTTTACTTGTAAGTTTTTTTTTTTTTTAAATGGCTTGCTCTTTTCTAAATAATAACCTCTAGATGCAAGATACGCAGTTATAGCAGCAAGTATGGATCAATTATTAAACTACCAGTGGTTCTGTTTAATCTGTACCAATGTGTGAAATTCTTTTGAAACTCATCACCCCAACTGAGACAGAATATGAAATCTTTCTTTGTTAAAACAATCAATAAATCAATTAAAGACCCCTATAATGAGTAGTACAGTGACAGAATGAATGGATTAATATAAAGTCCTTTTAAGGGATTCTTAAAATCAGAAGATTTAATTTGGGCTCAAGTAGTAAAAGGAATATACTGGGGCACCTGGGTAGCTCAGTCGGTTAAGGGTCTGCCTTCGGCAGGTCATGATCCCAGGGTCCTGGGATCAAGCCTCATGTCAGGCTCCCTGCTCAGCAGGGGAGTCTGCTTCTCCCTCTGCACCTGCTCGTGTGCCCTCTCTTACTCGCTCACTCTCAAATAAATAAAATCTTTTAAAAAAATAAAAATAAATAAAAGGAATATGCAAGAAGCCTGCTGCTGGCCAATGTTGAAATGCTGGAAGTGCTCTGGGCTCAGTCCCTCTCCGCGGCTCAGTCCCTCTCCGCAGGAGGGGAAGGCACAGCCCATTGCCCTGCAGCGCCCATGGTGTGTCATCCCAGCTGTGCAGGGAGCCTCTTTTTGGCCGTGCAAAGAGCATACCTGGTGATTAGGATATGAGTTGGGGGAGTGATGGCAGTGCTTGCTTTGCTAGTTTACTTTTTTCTGACCTGGAGACTTCCTTTGCAGGTGAGCGTCCCTATCAATGCCCTTACTGTGAAAAAGGATTCAGTAAAAATGATGGACTGAAGATGCATATTCGTACTCACACCAGGGTAAGATTATATTTTGTCTCATTAATATTTATTATAAAACTATACTTAGTTTTTTTTGAAAAGATATTTAACTTGGCATGAGAAAGTAAAAGTGATGTATCTAAAATTATATGTTCATATTTAGGATGGACATTTGGGGACTAATTAAAAGAAAGACAAAACAATGAAAGAAATAAAAGTCCAAATTCCAAGAGGATCCCCATTCTTTGAATTAGGAATAAGTGCTCAGGAGTAATAAGAATTATCAATGGCAAACTGCCAAATAAATAGATCACAACATTTTAGGACTAAAAAGTATAAAAGATGGGGGCGCCTGGGTGGCTCAGTTGGTTAAGCGACTGCCTTCGGCTCAGGTCATGATCCTGGAGTCCCTGGATGGAGTCCCTGGATTGAGTACCGCATCGGGTTCCCTGCTTGGTGAGGCGCCTGCTTCTCCCTCTGACCCTCCCCCCTCTCATGTACTCTCTCTCTCTCATTCTCACTCTCTCAAATAAAATAAGTAAATCTTTAAAAAAAAAAGTATAAAAGATGGTGCCTTGCAGAGCATTTGCCAGTAATAGGAACATTCTTGAAGAGAGGCGTGTCTGTAAGCATGTGAACACTAATTAATACACATGAGCAAATACATTTGCAAGAAAGATGTTGAAAATAATGTAAGTTATTGGAAGGGACAGAAAACAGGAAAGGACAACTCACTGCTCCACAGGGTGCTGCCTGGTACTGCCTTCCATTCTTTTCCAAGGGTGCCCTGTGTTTTTTAGCTTGTCAACACCTGTCACTGCACTCTTGTCATTCTGTTACATACGGCTTTCCCAAACTCAAACATCTGCCTCACCTGCTACATAAAAAACTGTGAGCAGCTCACCCTCCATCCAGCTACGTTTCTTAACCCACTATTCTGTTTAGGGCACAATTAGATACTTTATATGAACTTTCCACTTGGAAATTTGATGTTTTAAATAGTTCTTGAATTTGCTTTACCTGTCTTTCCACTGTATTATCTCTCACACAGATCCTTTTCAGTCTGGCCTTTTAAAGGTGCTTATGGTCTGTACATAAATGACGTGTTTTTCCAGCTTTGAAGAGACCTGCTTAATCCCCTAAGAGCAATTCTAATTTCGGCCTTTCCTGGATTTCACTTTTTTACCTTAGCTATAAAATACAAACTTTAGAGAAAACACATAATAATAATATCCTTTCCAGTATAATAATATTCTAGCTTTCCACTTCAGTTCTGTAGGCCATAAAAGATACCCTCAGAGGTCCTGTTAAGAAAATCACTCTTCTTGTCTTTCTGGTGGAGGACAGAGGCAGGTTCTCTACTCATTAAAGCAAATCCATAGCAGGTTTCCCCTTCTGGTTTATAACATCATATTTATATTATATGAATATTAATAATTGGTGTACTTACTGAGTATAAAATTACTTCATAAACAATAAAGGATTAGACAAATATGACTGCCTATAATGATATGACTTAAATATTTATTTCACCATGAGCATTATTAAAGAGATTTAAGTTAGTTTTAGTTCAGCCTAAGAAGTTATCGTATGTGTGCAGTCTTCATAGTGATGTTAATAATGTGTTTTAAAGCTGCCAGCATACAAGGAACCCTGGTTCCTCTCAGTGAAACTACTGATGTTAACCAAAATCTGGGCATGATGGGTACATAACTATATTATTGCACTTGATTACGGATGATAGACATGATTATACCACAGAAGAAAATCACTGCAGGAAAAAAAATACCTTTTGGGTCCCCTTAAGAAAGTGATATTTCCAATTCGATTAGTTTTTTACTTTGTTTTAATATAAAGTTTATTAATGAGACCGATACAAATAGTTATAAAGACCACTAATCCCATGCCAGGTCTGGGCCTTCACATTTATTCATTTAAGAAGCCTTACAGAATTTAGATCTCATAACAACTTGTTAATGAATTTAAAAATTCTTTTAGGCCCCTATAAGGTAGATATTATTATGATCCCTTTTTTAAAAAATGAGAAACTGAGGCCCAAGCCAGTAAGGAGCAGAAATGAGATGGGAACCAAAGCAGATCGGCTGCAGAGCCGACCCCCTTACCTAGTACATACATCTGCCTTTTATTTACTTGAATATTTTGACTCTACCAGCTGATGTACTTTCTTGTATATTTTTAAACTAAACAAACTGCAGTAACGACCCCAAATTTAAAAGTCTCATGTTCATTTGAATACTTGAGCCTTGACTTGAGGATCCTGGAACTGGCTTGAGGTATCCAGGTGCAGGTGGTACCTTTTAGCAGCTCTCGAGCACTAACTGCAGGAAAAGAAAACAAATCCCAGCCTTTGATTAAGGGAGCATCCGACAGGGTCTCGACTAGAAGCACCCAGGATTTTAGACAGAATCCCATACAATTAGTGGAGTACTCAAGAGGAACAGGGTAAGTAAATCTAAGCCTCTCAGGTTTTGCCTCAAACTTTAATCCTTTTTCATGCATTATTTGTATTTTATCATAGACAGCTTTAGTTTTGAAATTATATTTCCTAAGCATTGAATGGATACAGATATTCTTTGCATATTAGTGCAACTTTCCAAAAGCTAATTATCAGCTAATGCAATCTAATTAATGTCAAGAACCAAAAGAGACTTTTAAAAAAAGTTCTAGAGGAATTATCTCTGCAAACTCATATTTTCCCCAATATTACTTGGATTTTATAGGACCAAATACAAAAACGATATCATTACATTTGGACCATAACACATTTCAGTTTCAGTTTTGTATTCACATTACGTTTAGTATTTAGATCATTCTAATTCCGGGCGATTTTGCCCTATCTCCAAAGATCATTTTAATTCTGTTACAACAACAACAAAAACTATACTATTCAGCAAGTTACATCTTTGAGAAGTTTTGGTTAGTCTACACAAAATGCCACGCCATGCCTGTACCCTCAGATTCGCATTCTATGGTTACTGCATGGATGCCTTGGTGAGGGAACACAAAATCCTTTCATTCCGGTTATCGTTTATGTGGTCCAGTAAGGGCTGTAAATGTGGGAGACAATTTTGCTAGAGCCTACATTTTGCTAAAAGGCTAAACAGTCATTGGTCTTTTATGGAGAGGCCACGGCTTAAGTCCAAGGCTTAATTTCCTTTTATCCATTTCCTTCAATGATTTATATATTCTCCTTATTTTTGGTTTTCAACACTGTTGTGCTAGACGTGTTTTTCTTTGTATCCATCCTGCTTGTATTGACAGTTTGTTATTAATAGCTATATTTTGGAAAATTCTCAGCTGTGTTTTAGAAATTATTTCTTTGTTTCCTTCCTTTCCTTCTTTTTCTTAAGGGATGTCGAGTACATGTGTTAGATTGTTTGATGTTGTTCCATAGCTCTTGGTAGTTCTTTTCTGGTTTCGTTTTGCTTTGGTTGCTTTTTGATTTTTAACCACAGTGTTTTTCTTCTTGTTGTTTGTGTTTCTAATTTCCATTCATATATTTTCAGTTTCACTGAATCGTTCCTCTTTTGTTCCCAGTCTGCCTATTGAAGGAGTTCATCTTTGATACCATGTTTTTCCCTTCTCATATTTCCATTTGGCTTTTAAAAAATCACTTCCATGTCTCTGTTAAGATTACCCATTTGTTCGTGCATGTTGTCCACCTTTTCACTGGATTTAAGATATTAAGATATTAATTATAGTTACTTTAAATTGTCTGATAGTTTCACCATCTGGGCCATCCTTTGATCTTTTTGTGTTGTCTATTCTGTCTGTTGATAATGGGTTTGGGGGAGTTGCTTTTTGTGTGTCACACAGAATTTTTATTCAATGCCTATTACGTGTGTGAAAGAATAGTAGATACCAAGGTAAATGTTACTTATACCCGGAAATAGGTACACCTTTTTCTGCCAGGCCATTAATGTGAGGGGTTGAGCCAATCTAGTCAATAGTTGAACTAGCTTTGGGTTTTGTTGTTGCTATAGGTACCATAGGCTTTAAGCTTCTCCCGTGGTGGGCTGCTATTTCCATGTTCTTACTGGGAAGTCTGGGTGGTCAGGGGTTTTCTGCAGTAATTATCCTCTACCAAACAGACCCGGTTACTCAGCATGAGATGCGAGTGGGGCAGAGGGTTCTCTTGGTTCTCCTGTTCGAGCAATAGGGGGAGGCAAGTGCTATGTACCTGAGTCTCTAAAGTGGAACTTTCTCAGCATTCCTACTCTGAGCCTGTGGTGGGCAACTTCTGCCTCTGCCTTAGTTCAGGTCTAGAGCGGCAGTGTCCTAGGCACAAGATACATGTGGCTATTATTAATTATAATTACAAGTAATTGGAGTTTAATTACAATTAAGGCTGATTCATAGAACATGCAGCTTGTGGCTCTTGTATTGGACAGCACAGTTATAAAACATCTCTGTCATCCCAGAAAATTCCACAGCACAGGTCTAGAAGGGCAGTTGGCTGAACTTGGCCTTGTGTCAGTGGAGAGTTTGGGGTATAAGTGAGGTTGTCACTCCTCTTCTGGCAGCAGCAGACCTCTTCTACACGTCAGTGTGAGTCTTGGGCAAAAGCAGGTCCGAGAGCGCCTCCCCTTTGAGTCTCTGCAGGGTGCGGGGTGTGGGCAAGCTTCTCTTCTTCCCCAGAGGCAGAGCCCTTCACCTGGGACCAGGGTGTGCATGGGGTTCCTGCTTCACCCCCAGCAGGTGATGGCTTTTGCCTCCTGACAGAGATGAGATACAAGACACGGCTGAGACTGAAGGCATTTGTTTCCTGTGTCAGGAGGGTCTGTGGCCTTGTGCTTGTTCACTGGTGGTGGTCAGTCACCACCTCATGGTCACGCAGGGACGAGAACACAGACGAGTGCCTTCTGGTGTGCCTGTTCCACCCTGAAACCTTGTCAGGCCCCCATAGCCTGCGTCATGATGGGGCTCTCCAGTCCTCCCCGCCTGCCCCTCATCTTTCTCACCAGCACCTGGGGAGCCAAGGGAAAAGAAGCTGTGAATGGTGTGGACTTCCAGTGTGC